CCTTGTTGCATGAACCTTTCGTTTAACAAAGACTTAAAACACACGTTAGTTGTTAGGTTTTCTTAACAGCAATTACAACATGTAAATACTTAAACAATTGTGGGAACAAACCTAAACATGTACAATAATCAAATCATACATAATTCCAATACTACTTAAAGTATTACAAGCAAAGCAATGTTAAATCAATGAATTACAGAAATTCAAATGACAAATCCTAATGTGAAAGATTACAAACTTGCCTCACTTCTAAGCCTTTTCAACGAACATGAATACGAGAATACCGGTGACCACTTGAGTCTCAAACCTTGATATAATGTCTTATGCATGTATACACTTTCCTAAAGAGATTAATTTCCCCGACAACGGTGCTTGGGTTAAACCGGAAATTCTCTTTGAGATACAAAAGACACTCAATCCGTTCTTAGCACAAAGAAACGAATAAGGATGATTAATTCACAAAGGAAGGCTAAATTTCAAGAGGTTAATCTTTCAATAGTTTGCAAGAAGATTGAAAGAGAATAGGAGAATTATTTTATGGAGAGGATGAACAAAATGCTCTGAATATTTTTTCTGTTCTTCTATATCACTTTCGTATTCACGAAAATCCCTTTTATATGAGGGTCAACCGTCAGCAAATAACCGCAAAACTGGCTAATGGCGCGGGCGCGACAAACAAGGCGCGGACGCGCCACAACGAGGAGCGGGCGCTCCTCACTTTGGCGCGGGCGCGCCTCACTAAGGAGCGGGCGCTCCTCTTTCAGGAGCGGGCACTCCTACCCAGAATATGCGTTTGAGGAAATTTTCCAGTGAGGGGCGCGGTTTGTGCGCGACCAGTGGCGCGGGCGCACCACCAGGCAGCGCGGGCGCGCCAAAACTTGAGCGGTTGCGCCTCTCACTTTCATCTTCCATGCTGAAATCCAGAGAGGTACGTGGTTTAGGCGCGCTCTCATCGCGGCCGCGCCTACCAGGTGCGGTCGCGCTTTACATGGGCGCGAGCGCGCACCATACAACACTCTAAATTATCTAACAATCCTCCCCCATTTAGAGTGTTTCTTTAAACATTCTCCACTTCCATCTATTTAGCTACATCTCATGCATCAATGCTAATATCCCTACAGATTGAATTAACACCTAGTACAACACACTTAACGATGATCATATCCCATGATTTCCATATGGATTGAATCACACGGATATATCCAATCATTCGAAGGTGAAGTACACACAAGACAAATCGAATTAATCATCACTTGACACTTTTAAACAGCCATGTGTCCATATCTTTCATAACTTCATCAAAGTCTATATGTCCATCTATACTTCTTGAAGCGGCTAAACTTCGAACCTATATAGGTAGGTTCTCATATACGTAAAAGTGCCCTTGTGACAAGACACTTACATTTAGAGCTTCTCAGCTCTAAACCTTTGAGGACTTTAGTAGACGCTACCTTTCACATCACAAGTATCATAGCAATATGGGTCACAAACATTGCTAACAAACAACAAAAATGTAATTCAACCACATTGAATCTAAGACTTGATGTTTCTTCAAGCGTTAGATTGGGTTTCACAAATTCGCGTTTTTGGACATAAACCCATTCCATTCATAGCAAATATGATGGAATTCCTTGGCATTGCTTTTGTAAAGCAATCCGCCAAATTCAACTTAGTTGGAACATAGTCAAGACTTATGACCCCATCATTGATAAGCTGTTTCACTAGGCCATGCCTCAGTGAAATATGCCGAGACTTACCATTATACACTTGACTATAGGCCTTTATCAATGCCGAATTAGAATCACAATGGATTGCCACCGGTGGCATTGGCTTTGACAATAAAGGCAATTCTATCATGAGATTCCTCAACCACTCAGCTTCCTTAGTAGGTGAAGCAAGAGCAATAAACTCTGCTGCCTAGTGGAATCTGCAATGCAAGTTTGTTTCTTGGAAGACCATGAAATGGCACCTCCCCCAAACATGAATACCCAACCACTAACAGAAGAGTCATCCTCTTTGTAAGTGATCCAACTTGCATCAGAATATCCTTCTAAAATCGAAGGAAATCCACTATAAGATAAACCATAGTCTAACGTACCTTTAAGGTACCTCAAGACCCTTCGAATTGCAAACCAATGCTGTACACCCGGGTTACTAGTAAATCTACTAAGTTTCCCAACAGCTAATGCAATATCCGGTCTAGTACTAGTCATAGCATACATTAAGGATCCAATTATCCTTGAATATTCCAATTGGGGAACCGTTTTCCCTGAATTCTTAACCAATTTCACATTAGGATCCATGGGGGTGTTCACGGGACACTTATCAAACATATTAAACCGTTTGATCATTTTCTCAATATAATGAGATTGACTTAAAATAAGTCTATCATTGTCCCTAATAATCTTGATGCCTAAGATGACACCCGCCTCCCCCAAATCCTTCATCTGAAAAGATGAGGATAAGAATTCCTTGGTCAATTCTACTTGTTGTAGATTTGTACCAAAGATAAGCATATCATCAACATATAGACAAATGATGACACCATGACCTTTGTCATAAAATTTGCTATATATACACTTATCTGCTTGATTCACTTTGAATCCAAAGGACAAAATTGTGTCATCAAATTTTCGATGCCACTGCTTAGGTGCTTGTTTAAGTCCATATAATGACTTAACCAATTTACACACCTTATTCTCTTGTCCCTCCAAAACAAACCCTTCGAGTTGTTTCATATACATTTCTTCCTCTAGATCACCATAAAGGAATGTCGTCTTAACATCCATTTGATGAATCACTAGATTATATGCCGAAGCCATTGCAATCAATAACCTTATAGAGGTAATTCTTGCAACCGGTGCATAGGTATCGAAATATTCAACACCATGCTTTTGCCAAAGCCTTGGATAACCAATCTGGCTTTAAATTTCACTATGGAGCCATTCGGTCTCCTTTTCCTAGTGAAAATCCACTTGCAACCAAGAGGTTTGCAACCGGGAGATAAACCCTCTAAGACCCAGGTATTATTACCCATGATGGAATCCATCTCATCATTTATAGCTTTCTTCCAAAATGCTCTATCTTGAGAACATATGGCATCGCTATAACACTTTGGTTCACTATCCACATTAAAACAATATGGAATAGTTGAACTAAGGACATCCCTAGACCCTTCGACTAAATAAATTATAAAGTCATCCAGAGGGTTCCTAGGTTTTCTTTCCCTAGCACTTCTCCTAACTCGAGGAGTTTCAACATTCTCATTATCAAATGTTTTTTCATGAGATTCAAGTTGATCATTCAACTCTACTATCTCCCTATCATTGGCACTGATTTGTAGATCTTTTGGTCTACTCATTGATGAAAATCGTTTTTCATCAAATATTGCATCTCTTGACTCAATAACTGAATGAATCGATATATAGTCATTTTGTTTTATTACATACAACCTATAGGTTTTGCTATGCTCAACATAACCTATAAAAATGCAATCCAAGCCCCTTTCATCGAGCTTTCTTTTCTTGTTGCCAGGCACTCTTACGATTGCCCTACAACCCCAAACCTTGAGATACTTCAAGTTTGGCTTTCTTTTGTACCGTAGTTCATAAGGAGTAGATTGTTTTCCCTTAGTGGGAACCCGGTTAAGAATGTGATAAGCTGTCAACATTGCTTCACCCCAGAACCCTTCACTCAAACCAGAGTAAGATAACATGGAATTAACCATCTCTTCAAGAGTTCTATTTTTTCTTTTAGCTACACCATTAGATTGTGGTGCATAACCAGATGTAGTCTCATGAATTATACCCAAAGATTGGAAATAAACTGGATCATAATATTCCCCTCCCTTATCAGTTCTTATTTTCTTAATTAATGATTCTACTTGCAGTTCTACTTCCTTTTTATAAATATCAAACTTATTTAAAGCTTCATCTTTGGAGTACAAAAGATACACATAACAAAACCTAGAATAGTCATCTATAAAAGTAATCATGTATCTTTTATTCCCCAAAGAAGGAGTACTATGAAAATCACACAAGTCACTATGGATTAGTTCTAAAATGTTAGAACTTCTCTCAACTCTCTTAAAAGGAGTTCTAGTGATCTTGTTCAACATGCAAGTAGAACATTTATTAGGAGAAATATCGCAAGAAGGTATCAATTCTTGTTTTGACATGAAAAGCATTTTATTGTAATTCACATATCCTAATCTAGAATGCCATAAATCAAACATATTTAAATGAACATGATTATCATTGACATCAACATTCAAACACAAATTATCCAAAACATTACTCTCTTTCAAAGAGAGTTTAAACAAACCATTTTCCAAATAACAACGTCCTATGAAAGTTACTCCCCTAGTAATTATGCATCTATTAGCTTCAAATACAAGCTTATAGCCAAGACTATTCAGGGTAGGCCCCGATACAAGATTTCTACTAATTTCCAGAGCACAAAACATTCCTAAGAATGATTGCAGTCCCCGAACTAAACATTAGCTCAACTTGTCCTCTTCCAAGAACCTTGATGGTAGAATTGTTCCCCATGAAGAGGTCTTCTCCATCAACAACCTTTTGAAAGTTTTTGAACCAATGCTTACTCTTGCATACATGCCTTGAAGCCCGCGAATCAATCCACCATGATTCATCATCCTGTACCATAAATATGTTAGGATCCGTTGCATTTAAGTCCAAACCGGAATTAAATTCAACCTCATGAAATGGATTACCTTTCATGGATGGGTCCTTTCTTCCAGAAGCACGGCCCTCCTTGGCTCTCTCCATTCTTTTCTTGAAAGAATAACAGTCCTTCTTGCGGTGACCAGCTTTACCGCATTCCCAACAAGTAAACTTGTTACTTGCCAATTTCTTATTGGACTTGTTCTTAAAAGAACTAAAATTCTTTCTGTTTCCACTAGTAGATACACTAGCTCTTCCCTCATCTACCATATTAATGGTAGATGTGCTAGGATTTCCATCCTTAGCACCTTCCATGGCTCAAATCCCTTCTTCAATTTGAAGATGGGTGGCCAAACCAGACAATGTCATGTCCTCCTTTTTGTGTTTCAAATCATGTTTAACATTTTTCCAACTAGGGGGTAATTTGTCAATAATACTAGAAACAACAAACAACTCATTCATAGTTATCCCATGTTGTTCTAGACTACCATAGATACGTTGCAATTCATGAAATTGATCCATAATGGATCGACCCTCAACAAATTTATAATAATTAAAATTGCTAACAAGAAATTTCTTACTTGAAGCATCCTCTGCCATATACTTGCTTTCCAAAGACTCCCAAAGCTCCTTAGCTGATTCCACATTTTGATAGATATCAAAAAGATCATCCTCCATCCCATTCAAGATGTGACCACGACATATGAAATCGTCGTTGTCCCACTTCGATCTTTCCCGGACAGATTCCAAGGTCTCATTCTCATGTTCATTAGGCCTTGGAGTACTAATTACATAGGCTACATTTAAGGATGTAAGAAGAAAATACATCTTCTTCTTCCATTTCCTAAACTCCACACCATCAAACTTCTTAAGTTTGACAAAAATTGTGGTTAATTCTTTCATACTAGACATGCTTGCTAAGTTTTTCAAAATTTAATCTCTTTAGATTGTTAGGTTTTCTTAACAACAATTACAACAAGTAAATATTTAAACAATTGTGGGAACAAACCTAAACATGTACAATAATCAAATCATACATAATTCCAATACTAATCAAAGTATTACAGGCAAAGCAATGTTTAATCAATGAATTACATAAATTCAAATGACAAATCCTATGTGAAAGATTACAAACTTGCCTCACTTCCAAGCCTTTTCAACGAACATGAACACGAGAATACTGGTGACCACTTGAGTCTCAAACCTTGATATAATGTCTTAGGCGTGTATACACTTTCCTAAAGAGATTAATTTCCCCCACAACGGTGCTTGGGTTAAACGGAAATTCTCTTTGAGATACAAAAGACACTCAATTCGTTCTTAGCACAAAGAAACAAATAAGGATGATTAATTCACAAAGGAAGGCTAAATTTCAAGAGGTCAATCTTTCAATAGTTTGCAAGAAGATTGAAAGAGAATAGGAGAATTATTTTATGGAGAGGATGAACAAAATGCTTTGAATATTTTTCTGTTCTTCTATATCATTTTCGTATTCACGAAAATCCCTTTTATATGAGGGTCAACTGTTAGCAAATAACCGCAAAACTGGCTAATGGCGCGGGCGCGACAAACAAGGCGCGGACACGCCACAACGAGGAGTGGGCGCTCCTCTTTCAGGAGCGAACACTCCTACCCAGAATATGCGTTTGATGAAATTTTCCAGTGAGGGGCGCGGTTTGAGCGCGACCAGGGGCGCGTGCACGCCACCAGGCAGTGCGGGCGCGCCAAAACTTGAGCGGCTGCGCCTCTCACTTTCATCTTCCATGCTGAAATCCAGAGAGGTACGCGGTTTAGGCGTGCTCTCATCGCGGCCGCGCCTACCAGGCACGGTCGCGTTTTACATGGGCTCGAGCGCGCACCATACAACACTCTAAATTATCTAACATTAGTCGAGTTTGTCATTTTGTTCATCAAAACCATAAGGGTCAACACACAAGGTATTACAGTAAATGTAATTAGTTATACTTTAAATTATTACAAATATTTTTTTTAGTGTATGTATACAATTGTTCACTTAAATCAAATTAATTAGCCTTTAAAATTTTAACATTTATTTTGCTAGATAAATTTTCATTTTACAAATATGGCATAATTTATATTCTAGTTATCAATATAATACAATGATTAAATTAAAAAGTACTCTATATGTTCAATAGATTATCTTTCTATGTACTCCGTTATCTTCGTATATCATAAGTTTAAATACTACTTTGTATTTGGTAATTTATACTAGTATATTCTATAAATTTTATTAATTTCTTTACTCATCATATAAAACTAAATACTTCGTAGTGAATAAATTACTTACTAAATATGTGTATTGAAATAAAAGTGCAATAGAATGGGACGAATTTCATCAAATGAAAGAGTTGTTAAGAATAATAAGCTACTCATCATTTCAAAAAAAAAAAAAAAAAAAAAAAAATTGATTGATATCATTTACAATAGATAAAAATAATTAAAATATAAGTATATATTTATTTTATAATTTAAAAATCATAAATTCTAGTACTTGGTTTTTCATAAATTAAACGAAAGACTCAAAAAAAATAAAATAGTTGAATACATAATTAGTTATGCAAACATAGAAAGTACAAGCTTTGTTGTGGCTGAATCAAAGAGACCCAATGTCCATAATAACATGTCTCTTTGATCAACAGTTTTTTTTTTTTTTTTTTATTTTTTTATTTTTTTATTTTTTTTTATTTTTTAGGGGTAGCATGTGCTACCCCTTGTACCTTTCTAGATCCGTCATTGTCTGGATCCGCCACTAGACTTGCACCACACTTAGAGGTGTCAATTCAGATGATCGCATCGGATCTGATGATGAGGTTGAATTAGGATGGGTCAACTTTTAAAGTAAACTCATACTATATTATTGTGTCCACATGAGTCGAAATCAAATCTGATTTGGATATTTTTCGGGTCGAGTCGGGTGTGATTTTGACACCTATACCTACACATTTTCACTCTCTTTCTCATTATATTAGTAATTATTAAGAATTAATGTAAGCATATACTACATTATAAGGAAATTTTACGTGGTAACCCTCAATTTTTTCTAATAAAAATATATTATATAGAAAAAAATTATATTATATATCTATTACAATGGCCAAAAGCCTAATTAATAATTATGCTAACTGAGACCAACAGACGTCTATAAATCTTATACCCAAAAAAAAAAAAAAAGAACTTATACCCAAATTTCATCATCAATGAGACTGAACAAATTCTGCAGACTTTTTACAGAATTGGTTTATTTACTAAAAAAAATAAAACAAGAAATACTTACATAGTACTCTCTTGATCTATTCTTTTTGTTATACTCATTTGCAATTTGTGCAATCTCTAATGCGCATTTGACCAATTACATACTTCATTTTTGTTTACAAAGAAAAGTAAATTATGAAACGATTCTAAAAAGATCCCACATTATAATTTTTTACTTATACATAAGTAGTAATGGATGGTTAGAGTTTTTTGGTTTGACCCAATAAGCATTAAAGTGAGTTGACAAAAAACAACTGGAGATATGCATTCGATAATTCAAAACACGTGATCAATAATATTATTAAAATTTAAAGGGACAACAAGCCATCACAATGTGCCATAGTTTCTTCAATATGATTTGGCGCCTCAAGAGTGCTATGTGTCACCTTATGTGTCATGATTCATCACCCTAAAACTCTTTCTATGTGTAAGTTTCATACTTAATTTTCCCATAGAATGTTATTCTAAAGTAATTGTACAATAATATGTAATTTAATTTATAAGACATTAATCATACATTAATGGTTGTTGATTGCTTGGATGCTAATTTTCTAGATTCAATACCAATCAAGCAATTATACAAAGTAATATATATAAGTTATTATTTTATTATGTAAAGTAATATGAATATAAACAAGCATCTAATAATCTTAAATTTATCATTTTAATATTTTATTCACTTATAAATACTGTTCAACACTTACAGATTGAGTGGTGTGGAAAACTGAAAATGGGAATGGAAATGTAGTCAAAGTGATGAATGGATGTGAGGAAATTCGGGATAGGAAGAGGAAATTAAGCAACTTTCTCATTGTTCAAAGTCAATCGCAAGAAACTAACCAAAAAGGGTAATTTTGTCAAATCCACAACTGAGGGTAATTTCAAGAAACACTATTCCTTTGAACAGTATCACATACTCGGGTTTTTGAAGGGTTGGAGACTGGCATATTGTAGCATAATTCCCTGTTCATAAGCTTCCCCTCTTCTACTGTTCAGAAGCTTTCACATGCAATGTAAATTTATCTGGTTTCATTTAGTTTCCATTAATTGAGTCAGCAAGCTAAGGTGATGCTCATCTTTCCCGTTTTCACTCTCTTTCACTCATTTGGTTCTGATTTCTCAGCTTTCCCATCTCTCTTCCCACTCCATTGCTAGCTTTCCTCCAACCTTTGTCTCCTCCATTAAAGTTGAGGTAAGATCTTTACATCTTTGATGAAGGTTGATGCAACCAGGCCACCGGCTGATCGGTGCCGCCTCTTCTTCTTCCGCATCAACCAGCGAATCATTGGAATCCTGACGTAGCTTGGGGTAATTCCACCCTTCTTTAACCAAATTTTTCAGTTTCCCCCAATTTTCCCAAAATTTTGTGATAGATTGATTTCAAGTTTTCTGTTTTTTTTTCCAGGCATTGTTGTCGACAATTGTGCATTTGTCGGAATCATAATATAGATCTTAGTGAGATTTTTTTTTTTTTTTTTTTTTTTTTTTTCTTTTTACCAATCAATAGAGTATGAGTAATCATTTTCCAAAATTCTCACTAATACTCACATTAAAACAAAGAAACCCAAATTTCAATTTAACAAGGACAATAAAGAAATCACAACGGTAATTCTCCGGAAGAAATAAAAAGTGGGTAATTTTCATCAAAATTTCACCTTTTTTTTATAAGTTTTGTTTTTCAATGGGTAGTATTCGCAAGAGCATAAACCTCGTGATAAAATCAATTAAGGTAGTATTTAACTAATTCACTGACAATTTCCAGCTCTTTACATCTTTTAGGTTATATGGAAAGTTTATGAAAATGTTGACCATCGTGAGCCTTTAGGAAAATTTGTCAGTACTGTTATTTCAAAGTATTTTGCAGTGAATCTTGATCCAATAGTAAGTCTGCATTAATTGTCAGATGAGCCTCATTATTGGTCGAATATGCTGCCCATGATGCAACGTGTTCGAATCAAACTAGATGCCCTCGAAAGGAATCCTTGCCAAGAAAGCTGACATAAAAGGTCTTTCCTTAATGTAGGTTGGCCACTTGCCCCTCACTGGATCCTTTAACTCATCTATTGCTCCTGGATTGTGAGTCTTTTTGCTTTATAGGTTGTCTAATTCTATGTTTGATATCTCCTTGTCAAATAGATTTATTTCTAACCTTCCACCCATGGTACCCACACTTGCAATCCTGAGGTTCCAGAAAAGATTTGAAAACCTTCAAGCATTCGTTGGACATATTATGCTCGTGCTTCACATAACAGCCGCTGTTTATTTTTCTTTGTTTTCTTGTTGGAATTTTATTGACCATCATATCATTTTTAATTTCTTATGTATATAATGCATAGGTCTCTGGAAAAAAGGATGCAACATTTAACCCTATATACTGATGACAAAACGACTACAGAAGTTTGCATGCATGATTGAGCCGATTAGGGTGGGTTATGAGGGTTCTTACTTTGACACATGTTAATACTAATCCTAGCCAATTTATCAGCCCAAAATCACCTCTATTTGATATCCTTTGCAACTCTGAGGTAGGAGGAAAAGTAATTTGTGAATCCCGCTTTCCTTGAATAGAAAGTCTACTCACTTACATCATTGTTTGTCTACGTATGAAGAAACAATAATGCAAATAAGTA